CTTAGGTTATGATCCAGTTTCCAAATTGTTTGAGTGGTAGTAGGTAGGAAAACCTGACTACTTGGATCATATACTACCCAATGGCTTGGAATCCCCTGGGGGTGTGCACATAGGTTTTAGTCCAGATTCTAAGTGGATTTTGATGAGGTTTGTTAATTCTCCATTTATAAATATTAATTCTGTATACAAGGAAAAGTATAACTCCACATGTATTTTGGAAAAGAATAAAATTGTATGAGTTTTGAAAATATAAAATCCAAGCCTATATTTTACGGGGTGAAATGAAACTTACTTAGCTTATACTAATTTTTATCTACACTTTGTTTTTCTGTTAAATTATTTATACAGGTGAACATGGATAGTAAATCGGGATGGATTCGGTTGAGATGGAATAAAGCTTATTTCTTTGCTATTTTGAGGAGGATATTGTTGTGTAGTGATTTCAGTTTTATGTATTAAGTTGATTTTGGATAATTTATTTGATGTTGTAAATTTAGCCTTAGCACTTAGGTTGTTGGTTGCCTAAGTGTGGCGGTAACACCCATTTTATTTTGGTTAGTTAATGCTTCCGCTATAATTTTAGTAAAATGTAAATTAAGGAAAAAAAATTTAAGGAAATTTTGGATATGAAAATTGGGGTGTTACAGTTTAATATTACAACCACAAAGTATCCCAAAAACATAAGGAAGTCTGAGATCCTACAAAAGATAATAATAAAAGGATCTAGCTTCTACCGCTCTCAAGAGTCACGAACGAGCAACCTGAAAAAAAAAATTAAATTACCAAAGAAAACATTGCCAAAAACACAACATTAGCATAAAGCTAAATATGACTTACTATGCCCCGTAAAATACGCACATTTATAATTGAGAGTAAATATACTTTTAGAAAATAGTTTTGGAACATTATATTGAGTTTCAGATTTGAAACACATAGATAAAAGGCAACTTTTTAAAATTGGCAGAACAATAGTCGAGTATATACTCAAAGTGTCACAATATTCTATACAACATTTAAAAGACACCACAATTCATGCATAAGTGAAATAACCTTTAAAGTATACCCAACTCCAATATACATAAAATTCTCTTTCTTTCAATAACCATCACACAATTAAATCAAGACTCAAGCATAGAACAAGGTCTACAATTTCATGATACTTGCATAAGTTTAGATAAAATACTCTCAATTATAGTATAACTTAGGACACAAGCGAATAAACTGAAATCATAAGCCACACCTTTATGATAGACCCACAATAGTAATGTATATATCTGTATATATAAGAACCACCACATCAATCACCATCTCGTACCAATACACACACGGATATATATAAGGTGAAAGAGACGAAGGGTCTTAGATCAACTAAGCCCTAGTGACACGGTAATCCACTCTACTGGCCACTCCACAATTTGTCCCTTTCATGGGATAAAGGACTAAAACCTTAAGTGTGCACACACTCTAATGGGCTTCCCTCACCCAAAAGAGTAGTAACTAGTCCAAGTAGCCCAGGATGTTTTCTACCAGGCTACTCCACATATAGTAGGTATCCAGGATGTTTTCTACCGGATACAATCTCATCAAAATAGGGCCGGAGCCCACACTAGGACCAAAGTCCACAAATCCACAACCATCCATTATATCCACACATCCCATATAAACTCTCATCATATATAATATATACCCACAAAAGTGTTAATTTAAATATATATACACATATCATCTGTAGAACACCCCCCAACCAAATAAATTATGAACTTCATAGCACTCTTATATAAATAGAATAAAAAAAAAACACCAAATATGAAGGGTGCACTGTAATATACGAATTTCTGAACTAAAAACAAAAAGTTATATACTTTACACATATGCACTGTACACATATTTATAACAAACATATATATAAAATATATTTATATAATTTTATACATATATATACGTACTGTACATAAGCTATAAACATTATATATATATATATATATATATATATATATATATATATATATATATATATATATATTTTGAAAATAGAACTGCCGAAGCAATTCTGTCCAAAGTAGCAGTCCAGAAACTTTAAAGTGAAGCAGAGTAACACGGTAATGCATAATACTCCTCAACCTTCAGTTTTCCAACACTCATTTCATGAAATAGAAATACATATATACACATAGCAAGGATTTGAGCCAATACCAACCATTAAAGTCTTTAAATAATCAATAAACCCACAAAAGATTAGGCTAAGTATTTCAACATTTAGGCACATATTGAGCAACCATAAACCATACCTTCTTCCTAAGCACTTCTAGAGTATGATTCCCCCTAATCCTAGCCTTCTTGAATCTCAGCTCCTTCTCCTAATAGCACCCCAAACATACATAGCAACCAACAACATATAAACAACATATATAAAGAAAAAAGAAGTGTGAACAAAGGGAAAAAATGGGTGAATAAGTAGAGGAAGGTCGAAGAGAGAAGAAGAACTACCTTAGATTTTCTTAATAAAATAATTTGTACTTCTTCAGATTTTGGATGGGAGAGTGGCGTGAGATAGGGGTGTGCAAACCCGACATACCCGACCGACCCGACGCCCGAAAACACCCCTTCCGACCCGTCCGTGGTCCGATTAGCTTAATCCGAACCGAAGGCAAAACGACGTCGGATAAAGCAGGTCGGATAGGATTTGGTTTTTTCCCATCCGACCCGTCCGACTACCCGATCTAACCTAGGGTTAGGTTTTTGTGTATGCTAGACGACGTCGTATGAGGTAAGTATATATGTATGTTGAAGCCTTTGTGTAGCCAGATGCGCAGCCCTACTCTTCTGATTCTTCTCTCAGTTCTCTCAATCTCTCATCTCTGAGACTCTCTCACTCTCAGAGGCTCAGAGCTCTTCTCTCGTTCTCTGCTCTCTACTCCTCTCAATCTCATCCTCTCAATCTCTCATTCCTTTGAGTCTCTCACAGTCGTCTCACCTCTCTGAGACTGAGAGTCTGACTGTATGAGACTCTGAGTCTCTGTGGACTGTCCAATTGTCCAGTGTGCGGTGGTCGACTGGTGGAAGCCCTTCTTGAGTTGGTGGTGGAACGTGGACTGGTGATTAGAGGCCCTTGTTCTCCGGGGAATAATAAGGGGAAACCAAGTAAATCAGAAACCCTAGTTTTAGTTTTTGTGATATGTTGATTCTTTCCTCTTTGTATGTTCATATGCTCGTATATTTGTGTTAGATTATGCTATGTTGTGTTCTATTCTCTGATCTAGTATGGTGGAAGCAGAAACCCTAGTTTTTGTTTGTCTGATCTGTTGATTCTTTCCTCTCTGTATGTTCATATGCTCGTATATTTGTGTTAGATTATGCTATGTTGCTATGTTGTGTTCTATTCTCTGATCTAGTATGGTGGAAGCAGAAAGTCAGAAACCCTAGTTTTTGTTTGTCTGATCTGTTGATTCTTTCCTCTCTGTATGTTCATATGCTCGTATATAAGTATATTTGTCTTAGATTATGCTATGTTGTGTTCTATTCTCTGATCTAGTATGGTGGAAGCAGAAACCCTAGTTTTTGTTTGTCTGATCTGTTGATTCTTTCCTCTCTGTATGTTCATATGCTCATATATTTGTGTTAGATTATGCTATGTTGCTATGTTGTGTTCTATTCTCTGATCTAGTATGGTGGAAGCAGAAACCCTAGTTATTGTTAGATTATGCTATGTTGTGTTCTATTCTTTAAAGGTGGAAGCAGAAACCCTAGTTTTGTACCTGTGAATCTGTGATTTGTGTGGATTATGATATTGTAATCTGTTAAAGGCTTGAATGTGAAATTATCAAGTTTCAAACTTGAAATTTCCATTTATTGGTGGAAGCCATTAACATGAAATCCAGATAATGATGAATTGGATACAATTCCTGAATCTGGATTTCTTTCATTATTTGAGTATGTTTATGGATGTATTACCCTTAATTGAATATTTGAATGTAAATATGTAAATATGTAAATATGAAATTGTGAAATCTTGATACATGATGACACAAAAAAGTGCCTGAATCCAGATTTCTTTGTATGTTTATGTGAATCAGTGAATGTGATTGTTGGCTTGTTGCCTTTGCTGAGTAATTGATGCCCATCATTTTAGATGGAAAGCATCAATGTTCCTGACTCTGGACCTCAACCCTCAACTCAAGAGGGACATGGAGGACAAGCCCAAGGCACTGAGAATCCTGCTCAGCAGCCTCAGGTTGCTCCTGCTGTTCCTGCAAAAAAGAGGAGGGTGGTAGAGTCTAGGTCTCCAGTCTGGGATCACTTTGAAAAGATAAAGAACTCTGAAAATATAGTGGTTCAAGGCAAGTGCATTTACTGCCTGAAAGTGTTTTTCTGTGAGTCAAAGAAACATGGCACATCATCACTGAAAAATCATATGATGGCATGCCTAAAAAATCCTGTCTCAAAGGATATGAGGCAGTCCCTTCTCACATTCAATACTGTTGCAACTTCTGCAACAGAGGCTCCTGTGGGGGTTTTGGGGACTTGGGTCTTTAATCAAGAAGCCATTAGAAGGGCATTATGTGAGATGATCATAATAGATGAACTCCCTTTTAGGTTTGTTGAGGGTCAGGGGTTCAAGAAGTTTATTCTTGTAGCTTGTCCAAGGTTTCAGATTCCTTCTAGGTGGACTATTTATAGGGATATCTACCAAATCTTCCTAGATGAGAGGTTGAGTCTTAAGAAGTTGTTTAGGGTGGGCACCCAAAGGGTCAGTTTAACCACTGATACTTGGACTTCTGTCCAAAGGATTAATTATATGTGCATTACTGCACATTTTATTGATGACCAGTGGAGGCTTCAGAAAAAAATCATTTCCTTTGTCCCTGTTTCTTCTCATAGGAGGGAGTATATTGCTAAAGCCTTAGAGAGTTGTCTGTTGGAGTGGGGGATTAAAAATGTGTTCACTGTGACAGTGGACAATGCTTATTCTAATGATACAGCTATGGGATTCTTTAAAAGCAAGTTGTTGTCTTGGGGGGGTTCTTCTGTTAGGTTGCAGTATATGCACATGAGGTGTATAGCCCATATTTTAAATTTAGTGGTTCAAGATGGCTTAAGGTTTGCAGATGAGTCAGTTAAAAGGGTGAGGGATGCAGTGAGATGGGTTAGGAACTCACCTGCTAGGTTGAATAAGTTCAGAGAACTTGCTGAACTCATTGGGGTGGAAGCCAAATCAGTTTTGCAGCTTGATGTCCCTACATGGTGGAACAGCACCTACCTTATGCTCAACACTGCAATTCAATATCAAAGTGTCTTTGACTCATATCATCAAAATGATCCTTCTTTTTCTGCTGACTTGGGTTCTGCACCTTCTTTCCTTGATTGGGAGACTGTTGAAAGCTTAATGAAGCTTTTGAAAACTTTCTATGAAATGACTGTGAGAATATCTGGTTCTCTTTATGTCACTTCTAATACATTCTTCTCTGAGATCTCTGATCTCAGTTGTATGCTGGAAGATATGACTAAAGCTGACAGAACTGAAAAGGTAAAAAACTTGTACAATTTATTTGTGTAATTCTGTATATGAGTATATCTTGTAAGTTGTTTACTTGTTTGTGTTTTTAAATGCTTATGCTTTCTGAGTTTCTGTATTTATTAGGCAATGGGGACAAAAATGAAAGAGAAGTTTGATAAGTACTGGGGAGATCCAGAATAAATGAACCATATCATTTTCTTTGCCAATATTCTGGACCCTAGAGATAAAGAGGAGTACATGCCTCACCAGTTTGTCCAGTTGTATGGAGAGGCCAAAGGCAAAGAATGTTTTGCCAAGGTCCAAAATTCAATGGTTGCATTGTACAATGACTATGCAGCTACATACTCTGACAGTTCATCATCTAACCAACCTGTCCAGTCTCAGCCTCCTACTTGTACAGTTGGTAGGCCTGCCTCAAGGATGAAGAGTGAACTTAAAAAAAAAAAAGATTGGAGAGTGGTGGTGGAAGCAGTAAGCAGACAGAGCTACAAATTTACTTGAGTGAAAATCTGGTTGAGGATGATGAATCTGTGAGTTTTGATGTTCTAAAGTGGTGGAAGAATCATAGTGAGAGATTTCCTATTCTCTCCAAAATGGCTAGAGATGTACTTGCAGTTCCTATTTCCACAGTTGCATCTGAGAGTGCATTTAGTACAAGTGGGAGGGTGCTTGATGCATTTAGGAGTTCCTTGACTCCTAAAATTGTGGAAGCTTTACTGTGTACCCAAGATTGGTTGAGGTTACATAATCAGCCAATCACAGTTGAGGAAAATTTAGATGAGGTTGAGAGATTGGAGAAAGGTAAATTTTATATATATATATATATATATATATATATATATATATATATATATATATATATATTTCTTACATCATTTCTTTTGTACTTTTGTAATTTGTAAGTCTATAACTAACTACTAATTCTTAACTGTTTTGCAGAGTTACCCACTGGAGCTAGAACTACTCTACCATCAATGCTGCCATCCATTCCAGTAATGTTTTCAGTAATTATTTATCTTTATATGTTATGGTGTTGTACTGTTGTTTGCTGATGGCCTTCAAAAGATGAAACTATGAGAATATCTGCAGTCTAAGTGGCTTGGCAACTTTCTATAAGTATATTATAGAAATGTTGCCCCACTTAGAGTTGCCATACTCCCATAACACCCATTACATCCATTTTGGATCTCTGGTATTTCTCTCATCCTCTTAACTGATCTCTATTCAGTTTTAATGCATTATTATTTATTCTTACTTGTTTTTTTGGCAATGATGATGCTTCCACCACTGTCTGAACAAATGGTATAGTGTTGCTATGTTGCTCATGTGCTATAATAACACATTTGAGCAATTTGCCACTATCCTAGCTTGAAATGGAAAATTGCAATCTGAGCCTATAAGGCTATTAGCCTAATGCCCCTACTTAGTTAGCTGTTGACTACATAGGTTGTCTAATAATCTAATATTCTGTTAAGTTTTCATATTAACAGGAAGAAGTGTAGTCGTGTAGAAATGGTGAATGGTGATTGATGATTTGATGAAAAGGCCTAGACTGGATTACTTGAATGATTGCTGACTTGCTGTTTTGCTGAAGTTCTGTTTAAGTGATTAACTTCAAATTTGTAATATTTTGGAAGTTAAACACTTAAACTTATATTCTTTATGTATTCGTTTACTTTTTGCACTTTGGTTTGTAAACTTGAATTATTTTGCTCTCCAAACTGTCCATTATTAAGTTGTTGCATCACTTGCATGTTTTAGTTTGTTAATATATTAGTTATTACTTATTTTGTTAATCATATTATCATTATTATGTTTTTTCAGTTTTTTATTTTCAATTATCAATGAACTTTTCCAAATCCGAATTAGGTCCGACATCCAATCCGAGTAGTCCGAAATCCGACATAGCATATCCGATAGGGTTTTAGTTTCAAAATGGACGGATAGGACTTCAAAATTTCAATCCGCAATCCGATCGGATGAACGGAAAACCAGTCCGATCCGATCCGATCCGTCCGTTGCACAGCCCTAGCGTGAGAAACAGTAGGGGAAAAATGGGGAAGGAGTTAGCTACAATGTTCTATTTGTGGGCTTGTTTCCAAAACCCTAGGTGGGTCATCTGATATGGGTAGGGTTGGTTAAATGGGTTATGGGTTTGGATCAAGTTTAGGGTAGTAGACATGGGTTGGGCATGTAGAAGTTTAGCATCCTTAGGAGAAATTGTTGGGCTAGGATCACATCAAAACATTTTGTTGAGATTATAAGGGCATATGTTATAAAATAGCACTAAGGAGCCTAGTGACATAAAAATGATTTTGAATGTAAGAAAGTTATGAAAAGGGTAGAAAATGGTATTTGTGCCTAAATAATATTATTTGAAAGGACGGGGTATTACACTCGTGGATCTACCACAAGTCCGCTTCTTGGCAGAAGTAGAACGTTGCCAGTTCTACTCTCCTTTCTTCGGGGCAGCCCACCACGGTGAAGATCTTATCAAACACCCGTAGCCACTCTTCAAGGACTACAGGGTCTTCCTCGCCAGCGAAGGTTGGCGGCCGATGACCTGACACTAAACGTCCTATGTCACGGTGCCCAGCAGGAGGAGGAGGCGGCACAGCGTGATTGTTGTTCAACAGAGCTTCATTAAGCGTCTGCATGGTCTGGGTCAGCTAATGCAGATTCTGAGCTAGCTGCTCGTTGGTCGGGGTCTCCGGGGTGCAAGCACGAGGACGAGGAGGCATCGTAGCTTCTACATCAACAACACGATAAGAGAAGCAACAAACAAAGAACAGAAAACAACACACAACTCACCGCGCAACCTAGAGTCCTAAGCCTAACACTTAGCTTCTTAAGGTCGCTTAGAGGTCTCAAAACATACTTAAACACTTAGAACGTCTAGAGTTAACGCTTCCTAGGCTCTAAACCTAGGCTTTGATACCAACTGTAACACCCCCCAAACACGACCTATATCAAAAGGCCTTAACACCTGCAGATTAAGCACAAAACTAGCACAGCGGAAGATAAAAGGAAAACTGGATAAAAGAAATCCGAATGGGGTGTTATGCCACGTCTACCAAACCCGGTAAACGCTAAGGTGAACAATCTGCAAGTGTATACATCTATCCCAAAGAGACATCAGTCTATCACTACTACGGCACACAGGCCACAACAGAAAGGAAAAGGTGCTAGACTACTGGCTTCTAAACATCGCGCTCGTCTAGACATTACCTGAAAGATACAAAGATAAACGTTGGGACGACGCCTGGTCAGTGATAATGCTGGTAACCCACCAATACCTGTTCAGTATCATACATAGGTTGGATATATACAAAAATCATTTTGAAACGGAATACGTATATATAAGTGTAAAACCAAGAGTAAACACCAAACTCAAGACTCAACACTCATCAATCAAACACCACGGGAACACATCCCAAGACCACAACGGTAACGACACCACAAGAACAAAGACACAACAACCGGCAACACATACCTAGGCAACACATGCCTTTGTGACTACACACGTCACAAGAGAGAACACACAACCACGGCTACACAAACCCTCGTGACATCACCCGCCACGAGTTGATATGCCTTCTTATGCCCTGTTCCAACCTTATGGCTACCCCCAACCTTATATCTAGTTCCAACCTTTACCTCCAGGACCCCTGTACATACAGTTCAACCTTATTCCGCCGGGAATCGTCATTCCCCCACCAACAGACCACCAATGAACCACCACCAATTCATAATACCCGCGGCACTATCACGCACATGGCACATAGCCTGGATAACACCTGTTATCCCCCAAAAATGTGAACCTTACACAAAGGCCACAGCTCCATAATCACGCCACGACCACCACGAGGACCACTGCAATACCTTGGTGACTAGTGTTCCATACCACTAATCGTGCAATCCAGGTAAAGGCACACACGCACCGCAACTCAACATGAGTCAAACAAAGGATCGCAACGAAGGTATGAAACATACTCAATCAAGGAACGGGTCACAGCCCAACAACAACAACGATAAATAACGCAAGTTATCATCAACCAAACGGAAGGTACAAACCGCACACACGCTAGCATTAAGACAACAAACCAGCATGCTTATCAACGGGAAAACACAAGATAGTTCCGATGAACACACAAGACACCTCTCGGTTCAACGAAACACAATGTTGAATACTTAGCACGATTCAAGACACTAAAGTCCTACATGGATACCTACCATATAGTTCTAGATGTACGAAACATCAAGAAGACACTCAAAAAGTTCCACAAAAGAACATCGGGAAGTCAAAGGACCAAATACCGAGACAAACGAATCACGGGGAACAAATCCCAACACAACCACAACCATGTACCCGCGGGTGGACCCACGGGTAGTGCCCTGTAACACCCCTGATTTTCAAGACATTTAAAACTTAATAACAAAGGTAATATCTCATTAAATCCCAGAGTGTAACATAAGTGTGCGGGGTGTTATGCCACACCTGGGCTAGAGAACCCAGGTGCACAGGCTATCTAACTACTATCCCCTGAAATATAAATGGATAACATGGCACGCAGGCCAAAAAGGGAAACTATACTACTTCTACGCTCCAGTTCTAGCGCGCTCCAGTGCTCTAATCCTCTGTGCCTGAAAGCCAAATATATCTGTTCAGCGAGAGATGCTGGTAACCCACACCAACGCGTTGAAATACAATACATATAGAGATATATATAGATATACGAAAACCATTTTGAGCATGAAGATATATCCTACGAACTCTAGCTTTTAAAACCGGGAATGACTCGACAGATAAGGCCAGACACAAGCAACAGTTATAACAGTCATATGTAGTTCACAATAGATAAGGAAGATAAGGCAAGGCATAAACAATGATCACCACCCATCATAATCAATCCCCAACATAAATCCCACAGTCACATTTCTCCAAGACATTCATAATCACAGCTCATCCATATCACAACACATAGCACACTTTGTTGGCGCCACAGGACCAATCGCATGCCCATACATGAGGGTCAGCGCATATAGCTCTGACACGGCCCCGCAGCACCCTGCCCCGTATCGCAACACGGAGGGGTCGATCGCAACCGACCG